ATGCGAGTTTCATCGTAGTGTTCGTGAACCTTTTGGCGGGATGTTCGTTTATGTTTGTTTATTTAATAAATGAAGGAACAAGTATATAAATTCTCGTTTGTTTAGTTAAACGAACGAACATGAACAATGGTCTCGTTCGTTCAATTATGTTCATGAACGTTCATTTACGTTTGTTTATGTTCGTCCATATAAGTTCCTTTTATGTTCATATATGATTAGTTGTGTTTGATTACATTACTATATTTATATGTACATTTATTTTCATATATGTTCAATTATGTTTGTTTATCTTTGTTCATTTATGTTTGTTCTTTTAGCATGTGCACGAACATAAACAAACGAACATGAACAAGAAAACTTGTTCGTGTTCGTTCATTTGTTCGGCTAACTTAAACGAACGAACATGAACAAACCCTCTTTCGTGTTCGTTCGGTTAGTTTACAACCCTATGAGTTCTCGTCACATATATCTTAAAATTGTGTCGCGGTCTTGCATAGATTTTGCCTCAACTTTGAACAACCATAATTTGTTCATACAAACTCGGATTTTGATGATCTTTATATCCATGCAGTCATATACAAGTCAACTACAACTTTCTTTTGGATTAAATTTTCCAAAAAAGATTATATTTTTATTTACAATCTCATATACCAACGGGTATATGTTGGCCATCCTCTAAAACTACACACAAACTCATACTTTACATCCGTCTTTCTTATACTTTAGGAAAATACATAACTTAACCCTTTATTTAACCAATAAAGGAATTAGACACTTATTAATATAGAAGTTATAAGAAACCAGTGTTACAGGTTGTCTCCATCCCAATGATCCCTACTCCTCATGCAATTCAATTTGATATAATATATATAGGATACTTAGTTTTCCAAATTACATTCCTACACCAAGTTTCCAACCAAAATCTCGTACAATAACCATCATCCACTCAAATTTCAAGAGTATTTACCAAGATGATATCTTTTTCGTGCAAGATATTTATAGAACCAGTGATAATTGATAGTAGACCAAACTCCTTGAACTTTTAGACCTATCTCCTTGCATATAAAAGTGTCATGCACACCATGTATAACTTCAATAACTTTAACCCACCTAGCCTATTGTTCATCGGTGACAAACCTCCACCTCCATTTGAAGTAAAGCCGTATTAAAAGCAAGGATACTTACCACGTCTAACCCACCTTTTTCCCTTGAAGCTAGCACCAAATCCTATTTAATCCACATAGCCTATTTTTTGTGTAATAAACTTGGATTCAAAGTAGGAAGTACTTGTTATTTTATAAAATGTCAAAAATGTTTTATTAAACTAAAAAATCTTAACGTATAACTCGACGATATAACTAGGGTTAATACTTGTAAGAGTAAAATATTCTGTTACGTACACAATTTACCATTGAAAGTTCTTATATTGTTCAAAAAATATCATTATAACAGGATATTATAGGTTTAACCGATTTTTTGGGTATACATTGCACCTCTAGTCATCTTCTGTAAATTGATTTTTTTGAAACACAAACCCATAATATTTTTGGGTTGCTTTATGTGTTTGATTTTTCATATCTTCATTGCCTTCATCGTGTAAACTCATGAACTCAAGAACTTGCAGACAGGGGCGGAGCTTCAACATATGATTTTGGGGGGGGGGGGGGGGGGGGATAATATGTATAAAAATCGGTGAGCAGGGGGGGCCACCGCCAAAATTTTATATTTTTTGGTCTAATATGTATAAAATGAAAGTATAGGGGGCTATCTGTAACAAAAAAATCAGGGGGGGGGGGGGGGGGGGAGGGGGGAGGCTCTCGCCCTAATAAAGCTCCGACCATGCTTGCAGAACTCATTTTCTTAACGTGAAAATTTGTGTTTTGGTGCTTGAAAACCGGACAAAGATCTTCACCTAGATCAGATATCTCTCGGTTTTGGTGTTCGAAAATCATTTTGCAGGTTAAGAACAACCGAAAATGATGACTGAAATTTTGATTTTGGCCAGAAAAGATGATCGGAGATACCAAGGTCTCAGAAAACCAGCTAAACGTACAATATCCGGTCATAATTATATTTTTCGAGCATGATTAGAGAGTTTAATTGGTAAATCACGTACTAAAAAAAATCATTGACTGCATATGTACACAGAACAAAATGTGTTACCCTAATAAATTATTATCGCATATAACTAAAACCACGTAGTATTTGAAAAGGAAAATAATGCTAAAATGAAGATAATCTAATAAAACAAATTTTTACAAGGAAAATTATGCTAAATTGAAGGTACTCCAATAAAATAAACTTTTACAGTCAACATTTGATGGCTTGTATCATAATTAAATGAAAAACTAATTAACAAAAATGAATTTATACTTAACCATATATTTTATTTAAATATACATTGATAATAAGAAGATTAAAATAATCTGTTTTCTTAATGGTTTGATATAAACTAGCCTAAAACTCCATATTCTCAAAACAGTCACAAAATTAATGGTCCATTGCAAAATGTACTATTTGTATTGTCCCCACGAAAAAATTAACGGCAGGAAATTTGCAATCCATACTGCAGAATTGTTTATATATATAAGAAAACAATGAATTTTTATTATAAAGATTACTTTCTTTTTGAAATTTTTTTATGATATGAATTTTCAAAAACAATTTTTCGCATCAAGATAGAGTTTGATATTGCAAAAATTAAGTCTTAAGTTAATAGAGATTTTACAAAAGAATTAAGCTTAAAAATAAGAAAATCTGTCTTAAATATAGAAGACAATTTTCATAATGAATATTGTACTTCAGTACGAAATATATGGCTATTTTGAGAAATGGGTGAAATTTTAAGCTATTTTTTTAACTGATCATTAAATAAAAGTGACTATTCTCTTTTTCTCTACATTTTTTTCCCATTCAATTTACTTTACAATTAATAACACTTTAAAAAAAATTTGATTCAACTTATCATTTATAGGTCATTTGAAAGGGATAATAACTTGAAAGGGTAATGGATTTTTGATTTTGTTCACATTTAGTCATTAAACTTTTTTTCATTATTTAATGAAACTGTTCACATTTTACCCTTATGACCGGTAACAGGGTAAAATGTGAACAGTTTCAATAGTTCAGTGACAAATAAATAATGAAAAAAAGTTTAGTGACTAAATGTAAACAAAGTTGAAAGTTCGTTTTCCTCTCAAATTATCCTAATATTATACCCGAAAAAGGTATAAAAAACGAATTATTTCATCACGCTCCTTAAGTTGTTCCTAACTATTTCTAGATATTAAAGGCTACCCAAAAAGTATTTTGTTTTTAGTTCATAAAGTTATATCAATTTAGTTTTGATCTTAGACACCTAATCTAATTATTGGCTACCAATAGGGTTTTTTGATTCTATCTAAATATCGATGCTCAACTTCATGTTTGAGCTGATACAAGTTAGCTTGAAATCTTTATAAAGATGACATCCTTAATGTAAATCCAATAGTTATTGATAATATATTTAAAATTGATGATGTTGCTTAGTTTTATTAAAGAATCATCTTCTTTTTCTCTTTCAGATGTTGTTGGTTAGTTTGTTGGGCAGTTTCAGTTTATATTTGACTCTGTATGTTTCATGTACAAAACTGGTTAAGAAAAACTATTTTGTGTATGTTTAAAGTAAAAATACCATATTGTTCTTTATCATTTTTTCTTCTTTAATGAAAATAAGATGCTTTAAACTCACAGACAAATTAATGCTATACCATTTTATTTTTAAAATATAATCGCTAAAAATGAAAAAAATTAAAATAAAAAAATTATAACTAACGAGGGAGAATTCCTTACATACGATGCTACTTTTGAAACTATAATATAATATAGACCATTTATGTATCTATATATTTGACCGTATGTATATGTTTGACCGTATGTATGTTTTCAACTATATGTATGTATATGTTAACACAGGTTGCATAAGAAAAACTAAAAAGAATAATAATATTGAAAATACTTCTAAATGTATGTTGTGTGTAATATGAAAATTTCTAAATGTATATTGCATAGTTTTATCACATAAAACTTATACATATAATATTGGTTTCGTTTTTCGTTATACCTTTTTCGGGGTATAATATTAGGATAATTTGAGAAGGAAACGAATTTTCAACTTTGTTCACATTTAGTGATTAATTTTTTTTTTCATTATCTATTTGCCACTGAACTATTGAAACCGTTCACATTTTACCCTTATGACCGGCACGATCATAATGGTAAAATGTGAACAGTTTCAATAGTTCAGTAGCAAATAGATAATGAAAAAAAATTTAGTAACTAAAATTGAATAAAGTTGAAAGTCCATTACCCTTTCAAGTCGTTGTCTTTTTGAAATGACCAAAACAATTGACATAGCATCAATCACGAGCAAACAAGCATTTCAAACAAAAAGCTTTTGCACATAACTGTTTCCATCATGAGATGTCTAAAAAACCTAAACCATTTGCCATTTTGCCAATGGCACATATCATCCAATCACATACTCATCTTTACTCTTGAAAATGCATTTGGATTCATACATTCATTATAGTGGGCCTCAACTAAGACCTAGTTTCTTGGGTTGATAATTAAACAATTAATCTAGACAAATATACATTGGTTTAAACTTTAAAGTATACTATTTGATTTTTTTTTTACGTTAAAACCCGTAAAATATTTTGAATAATAATGTAAAAGTAGTTTTTTATTTTAATTTATTTTTAAATGTAAGGGTAAATTAGTCTCATTTAGACGATTTAATCATTAATTCATTCTTAAGAGAAATACATTTATGCTTATAACATTTTATCCAAACAGACATCGGTCTTACCTATACATATGATTTGATGGGAAAAAAACAAAACCACGGTCTTACCTATACATATGATTTGATGGGAAAAAAACAAAACCACTAAAAGTGATGACATTCCAACCATTTGAGAACAAAAATAATCGATTTAATAAAAATGTGAAATGAATCCAACTTTTTTTGGCGAATTGCAAATGCCTTAGCAAAATTTAGTCAATTCAATGAACTTAAATCAACTTAAATAAAGATACCAAAGTCAAAAGTGGACATAACTCTACTTATTTGTGAGGGAGGTTTTTATGTATTGGTAGCTCTTGTGTATATCTGCTGGCTTGAATGAGCAGAAACCATCCGAATTGCACCTCTTGCCATCAACTCTCGAATCGCTTTTCTTGCTAGTGATCCGTTAATCTATCATCATCATTAAAAAAATATTCATAATCACAATACATAAATAGGAATATAGGATTTAAAAATATGATATAATCCAACTTTTACATGATATGACAGAACAAAACATGATAGCTTTTATACTGTGTTTGACATGCATTAGACTACGACTCAGACCGGTGTCAGTGCGACAAATTTCAAACTTTTGTCCACCGAAGAAGGTGGGACATGAACCTACTTTTGATCTGTCGCTTGTGCAAAAGACGAAAATGTCCTCCTCATTCTATACAATGTTACAATGAAGAATACACTATCCTTGTGGTCCCCCATCTACCATTTTCTTTTATATTTTTTTTATACTGAACTCAAAAGCAAAGTGAACAGGACTATGAAAGCAAAGAATAAGATATACGGAGGTCAAAACAAAATCATCAAAATATGTTCAGATCCTTGGGTGCAAAAAGTGAGATTTGGGGCCACAGTTCTTCCTAGGTACATTTTCAGATCATGGATACAATCTCATAAGTGCTCCTAAAACCCCAAAATTAAACGTACCCCTAAAGTAAGGTACATTCTATTTTGATACAAGAACTTAACCTAAAAGATGCTGCAAAGACATGTCTGTAATAGAAAGAATAAGAACGTAGGAGAAAAATGAAATATTGAATTTGGGTGCCTCGGAAATTAGCTTATCATAAGTAGCTTTATCAAACAAAGCCATGTTGTTTACCTTCTCCTTTTGCTTTCCCTTGCTCCATTTCTGCATTCCGCAACAGCAATTTCATGATCATCAAACTTATAGTATTACAGCATGGAAACAAATTCAGAGATGCAAACGAATCAGTAATCATCAACAAGCTCGAAACAATGTAAATGTATTGTGACCTTTTTCTTCTGCTTTCCACCGCCGGACTTAGCGGGCTTGGAAGATGGCGGAGGTGCCTTCTCCTTCTTCGGAGCCTACAAAAATAACGTCGATTTTAGGTGTTTAAACAGTAAATATACAAGCAGCGATTCTAGAACAGAAAGAAGAAAATTTTCGAAGGGGATACACGTACCATTGGATCAGGTGAGATAGTAGAGGATGCGCGGCGGAGAGAGGAGCCGACGAATGACGGTAACGGTGGTTCCCGGCGCTCTTCCGATTGATTAAACAGTAAAAACCCTAAGGTTCTACTTTCACCACGTTGTTAGTTGTTCAGTCAAAGTTTGGGGCCTTTCTTAGGCCCAATACGGCTTTTACTTGGGCCAATTGAAATACAATATAACTTGTAATTTTCACCTTCACACTCAACTCAAATATCTCTATATAGATAAAAATCAAGATCAAATAGAAAAAAAATCAAAATCAAACTGAAAAAATACACACATTAAAATCATGAGACCGGTTCAATGGTGATATTCATATTGCGCTCAATCCAATTCCATGGAATTTCTTGGATTTTTGTTTTCTATGAAGTTTATCATTTTTGGAATCAAATATTTTGGTTGAAATTTCAACCATCAAATATTGCATTTAAAACACAAAACAATAATTATTTAATATTTAAAATCACTAATTTATTCATTACAACAACAATAATTAAACCTTCACTTATTACTTTTATTCAAAGAGCCAGAAACTACGAAACCCATGATACACCTCGTTTGTTCTTCACCGATCTTGTAATATTTAGCAATTAAAATAGCAAAAGCATGCCCTCCCAACTCCATCTCGGTGACAAGCTCCATGTTTTGCCCCCTCCCATTCCCGACATTGCTGATCACAGTGCTTTGAGTCTCCACAAAACCCTGACCATGTCTTGCTTCTCCGCTCGCATACCTTGTTTGTCTCTTTCGTACCCACCACTGTATCTGCAGTTACTTTCAACATTATATAATAGGAACATATTTTTTAGCAACTAATTAACGATGTATTTTTTTTCATTGAGAATCAATTTTTTGGTTTTTGCTTACCTATACGCAAGACTAGGAAGAAGACAAAGAGAAAAACAAATATAACGGCAAGAGGATTGGTGCTTTTTGCCATTTTGGATTAGATTGATATAGAAGTACTAATCGAGTGTATATTTATAGTGCAAAAGTTTGATTAAACCTATGACACCATATGCCAAAACACTTAAGACAAATGAAGCATATTCATATATTATAAAGATAAAACACTCACGCATATACCTTTGTTACTTTATGTTTGGGCTATATAAATGTATCTTAGACCCGTCATTTATTGTTGTTACTATGTTTTTTCCAAGCAATTTCGTCCATGGCCTTGTTACCAGTATACACTGCAAAGTTCTTTGTATATTCCGCCATTGCAAAACCAATAGGTAAAGGTTGATCTTTGTCTTTAAGATTCTTCAACCGTTTGTTTCACTTTGATTCCACCATTTGTTCACATGCATATCATATTGTGATACTTGTGTTAAAATAAATAATGTTTATAAATTCAAACTAACATTTTGTTAATTAGAATAAAGATATTTGTGAATATTTGTATAAAAAAGGGTATTGCAGGAAAACATGAAGAATATAGGAGGGGGCAATATGTACAAGTTGAATATATCTCCGGGTTATCACGCGGATCCACTCCGGGATGTCACGCGGATCTTCGGGTTGAAGATGACCCGTGTATTTAAAGTCAAAGGGAGCAGATCGGGTCATTCATTCAGTCATACTTTGCTTACATTACATACTCTTTCTCTCTCGTTGTATAGAACTCTCGTCCTTAGGGTTTTCTCTGTAGTTTTTGATAATCTATCATCTGTTCTTGATCTTGTTTCTAGATTAGGTTGAGTGATTTGTTGATGAGAGTAGTGTAGGTTTATGTAGTGAGTTTTGGGTTGTAAGTACATGAAAAACCACCTGTCTGTTAGTCTTAAAATGACATAATAGATGGTGATGTTGGGTAACTGTATTCTTACGAGTTTTTACATGGTATCAGAGCTTTAGGGCTCCGATTCTCGTCTCCATCGCTTTATTGACGCTTCGTCTTCGTTGAATCAGGTACCTGTTTTAGATTTCCGATTCTTTGTATTTTTTCTTTCTATTGATCTTCATAATCTGTCTTTGAGTCTAGTTTTCTTGTTGAAAACTAGATCTACGTTCAGATCGTGTTAGATTAGGGTTTTGTTTGCTTATTGCAAACGATATCTTCTTGATCTTTGTTATTGTGAGTTTTTTTGTTTCCTGCTTTGCAGATTCAGAAGACTTCTCTGTTTGTGAAGAACGATCTATTTGTTCTACTTTCTAATTGGGTAAAGACCTTCTCTTCTACTGGATCGGTCGGTCAATCTCATTAGGTCTGAAATAACTCACTAAGGGTCGGATTTCATCATTGATAAACCTTAGTTGAGTACGGATCTGAGAGCCGATCGGTTTTACTGGTTGTGTTCTCTTCTGATCTCGCTGTGAGGTTTTCTTGTTCTATATTTCTTCTTGATTTTTTGTTCTGAAGTTATTTGTTTTCTTGTAAATATGAGTTGTTATCTTGTGTTTTGACTTGGTGATTGCTTGTCTTGGGCCCCGACATACTGTGGTGACCATCTGGACTCTAAGGCTTTCACTATTGTCTGCTTTGTTTGTTTACTTTTGTAAAATATGACTGATTCTGGTGTTGATCCTGCTGGTGGATCTGGAACTAAGTCTGATCATACAGTGAACTTTGATGATCCTTTATATGTTCATCCTTCTGATAATACTATCACTAGTGTTATTAGTTTCAAGTTGTTAGGAACTGAAAATTTTAGGATATGATGCAGTTCTATGGTTAGAGCTTTAAAGGCTCGTAATAAACTTGGTTTTACTGATGGAACTGTATCTAAACCTGTTAATGATCTTGTTAAAGAGTCTAAATGGGAACGTGCTAATGCTATTACTTGTTCTTGGATTCTTGGATCTATTTCTGAGAACTTATATGCTAATCATGCTTGTTCAGAAAGTGCTCATGATCTGTGGAATGAATTATCTGAAACTTATCATAAAACAGATGGTTCTGTTATTTTTAATGTTCATCAAAAAATTGTTTCTCTTTCTCAGGAAAGTTTGTCTTTGTCTGATTATTTTAGTAAACTTGATTCATATTGGAAAGAGTTTGATGGTTTAACTAATCTTGTTGAGTGTACTTGTGAAGCTGCTAATAGTTTTAAGAACCATTCAAAATTAATGAAGTTAATGCAGTTTTTAAGTGGTTTAGATGAGTCTTATAATCAAGTTAAGAGTCATATTTTGCTTATGGATCCTCTTCCTTCAGTCAAAACTGCTTTCTCTTTAGTGTCTCGTGAGGAGTCCAATAAGAAACATAGTTCTAATTCTTTGACTTCAGGTTCCAAAACCTCGTCTTCCGCTTTTGTGTCTAAATTTATTGATAAAAAAAAATCTAAATCCAAGGGACAAATACCACAGTGTAAAAAATGTGGTCTTAAGGGTTATTCCATTGATAAATGTTTCAAAATTATTGGGTATCCAAAGGATTACAAGCCAAGATCTGAAGTCAATAGTCAAAACAAAAGTTTTTCTAATAATTCAACTTCTGTTTTTCAAACTGAATCTCCTGGATCTAGACCTGGTGATAGTGGTAATGATTGTCGTTTTTTAACTAATGAGCAATATGCAAAGTTTCTTAGTCTTATTGGTGAAACAAAGGAAGGGTTTGATGAGACATCTGTCAATGCCAATATGGCAGGTATTTCGTGTAACTTTTTTCTTAATAACAACTGTTCTAAATGGGTTGTTGACTCTGGAGCTAGTCAACATATGATTAACTCTGAATCTCATCTTCAAGATTCAATTGATGTTTCTAGATTAAATCTAAGGGTTAGTCATCCTAATGGATCTTCTGCTCAAATAAATAAAATTGGAAATATGCAACTATCTAATTCTCTTACACTGTTTGATGTCTTTGCTGTCCCTGATTTCAATGTTAATTTGTTATCTGTTCATAAACTGTGTAAAGATAGCAAATGTGAAGTTGTTTTTAATGAACATAATTTTCATATTCAGGATTCACAGTCCAAGGGGACGGTGGAGACTGGTAATCAGTCTGGTGGACTTTATTACCTTGATCCATACATTTCAGGTAGTAAGTCCTCTGTTTCAAAGAATGTTTGTTGTGTGTCTAAATTTACTTGGCATAGTAGACTTGGGCATCCTGCTGATCAAGCTTTAGATGTTCTCAAAAATAAACTCAATTTTAGTAATATTTCTCTCTCACCTTGTGAAGTTTGTCATAAGTCTAAACAGACTAGAGAGGCATTTCATAATAGTCTCCATATGACAAAATTCCTTGGTGAACTTGTTCATTTAGATGTGTGGGGGCCATATAGATTTGAGTGTGTAGGAGGGTTTAGATTCTTCTTGACTATAGTGGATGATTTCACTAGAGCTACTTGGGTTTTTCTTCTTAAGTCTAAAGAAGAAGTTTTTCAAAACTATGTTATATTTTTTAATATGTTAAAAAATCAATTTCAAGCTGTTGTTAAAACTATAAGAACTGATAATGGAACTGAATTTATAAACTTTCGTTTTAAAACCTTTTGTGAAAATCATGGAATTATTCATCAGACCTCTTGTGTTTATACTCCACAACAGAATGGGGTTGTGGAGAGAAAACACAGGCATATTCTTAATGTTGCTAGGTCTCTAATGTTTCAATCAGGAGTTCCATTAAAATACTGGGGTGATGCTATTCTCACATCAATTTTTCTTATTAATAGAACTCCTTCTTCTGTTTTAAAAGGGCTATCTCCTTATGAGTTAGTTTATAAAAAGTCACCTAATTTTGATAATCTTCGTGTGTTTGGATGTTTATGTTTTGCTACCAGTTTAAATAATGCTGATAAGTTTTCTGCTCGTTATGAAAAATGTGTTTTTATGGGTTATTCTTTAGAAAAAAAAGGGATACAAAGTGTTGAGTCTTGATTCAAATTCTATGTTTGTTTCCAGGGATGTTAAGTTCTATGAATCTGTGTTTCCATTCAGAATGCAGAATCATGTGTTTAGTAGGTCTAATGATGCTTCTAGAGGGACTGATCCATTTTCCTATGATGATCCTTTACCTTCTGAAAATTATGTTGATAATGGTGTTTCTAATAGAACTTAAGGACTGGATCATCATTTAGATGGTGCTAGTTCTCCTTTGAGTCCTAGTAGAACAGATCCTGCAGAGAGGAACACAGATACTAGTTTAAGGTTTGAAGGGTCCAATGTGCCTCTTCTTGATGGGTCTGGTCCTAGTTCTGTTGGTTCTCCTGACTCTTCTGTTAGGACTGAGGAAAATAGTCCTTTAGTTTCTGATCCTCTTGATACTCAGTCTATTGGTCTCACACGTACCAGAAGAGAAACTAGGCTTCCTTCTAAATTTAGTGATTATATTATAGAAGGAAAATATAAGTATGGAATTGAGAAAACTCTTAACTACTCAAAGTTGATTTATGAAAACAAGTGTTTTGTTTCTAATCTTGATAAAATAGTAGAACCTCAGTCTTATTATGAAGCTTCTCTTAACCCTGAATGGGTTAAAGCTATGAATCAGGAGATGGAAGCTTTATATAGAAATAATACCTGGGTTATAACTGATTTGCCTAAAAATAGGAAACCTATAGGGTGTCGTTGGATTTATAAAATAAAATACAAGGCAAATGGTGAAATAGAAAGATATAAAGCTCGTTTAGTAGCAAAAGGGTATAATCAAAGGGAAGGAATTGACTATGAGGAAACTTTTGCTCCGGTAGCCAAAATTGTCACTATTCGTGTTGTTCTTACTTTAGCTGTAAACTATAATTGGAATTTGTATCAATTTGATATTAATAATGCTGTTTTGTATGGTTCTCTTGAAGAGGATGTATATATGACATTACCTCCTGGATATCATAGTAAAACTAATAGCAGAGTTTGTAAACTGTTAAAGTCTTTATATGGTTTAAAACAGGCCCCACGAAAGTGGAATGAAAAGTTGAGTAGTTCTTTGATTAATTTTGGTTTTAAACAGAGTTATAATGATTACTCTATGTTTGTTAAAGTTTCAGGGAAATTGATTG